CAATTAAATTGAAAACAGCTGTAATAATATACAAATTTTCTTACCAATTATTGGAAGATTTTTTTTCATTAAGCCAATATGTAATATAATTCCTTAAAACATCATAATATCGGCTTTTAATATACATTATTTAATCACTTTATCATCAACTACATATTAGCCTTCTATCATCTTGAATAATTAATTAAATTTTTTTGAAAATTATTTTAAAATGCTTTATAATAGTATTATATCAAATATTATATCAGCTTATAATTACCAAGACTAATTATTTGAAGATATTTAAATATTTTTTTTTAACTTCGATGATTCTTACTATATTGTTCTTATATCTTATACAAATTTTTTTACAGATTATTGCATATTTTTTTTATTATTAAGCTCAATATGTAATATAATTCCTTAAAACATCAGTATATCAGATTTTTTATCTCTATATAATTGGGTTGTAACCAATGATACAGACATTTAAAATCTTGAGGATAACTACTCTAGCAAAAAAATGATGGCAATATGCCACATTTGCCATATAAGTAGAAATGCTACATGCTGTATAAATACCGTAAATAGTATAAATGCCGTATATTGTATAAATGCTGTATGCCATATAAATACCATGTGCTATATAAATATAGATGAGTATGATGGAAATTGGACAATATTTGTATTATCTACTCATGATTACCCGTGATAATTAACCAATCAAATTACATAATTTTTAAAAATTCATTGCTCTAATATTACTAGAAAACAAGAGAAAACTTCATATCAAAAAGCTTTCAAACTAACAAATATATATATAATATCTTGTTATATATAATTAGAGAATAGATTAATACACGTAAAGTAGATAAATGTAATCTTTATTATTAATAAATTCAAAATTATTAAAATTTTCACAATAACAACAATATATAAACCGAAATTTAAATTTTAAGTTAACCAACCCAAAAGCCAACAAATCTAAATATTAAACCTAAATTTCTCGCCACTAAATAGCTTGCACTTATTCAAACTAAACAGTTAGTAAGAAGTTTAATGTTTTAAGCAAAAAATGTCTTAATTATTTTACCTTACATTATAACTTTGCACAGTCCAATAGACGACAGTATGTTTGTCTTCTAAGTAAAGTCTCAGTTTTGAGATTACATTTTAAATAACTATCTTAGAGTATGAATAACGCGCTAGTAAAAAAAAAATTTGTAGTTAAACTATAAAAGTTAGTTTAAATTAACTATATTTTTTTCCGTTTTTACACATAAGCAAACTACCTTTTTCTATTTAATTCATAGTGATCCAAAAGTTTTAGAACTTAAAGAATATACTTGTAAAAAAATATTCACTAAAAAAATTATTTTACAATACTTGATCAGTTTTGATCAGTTTGTTAGTACCATGTTATAACACCATTTTTATAAAATAGTGTTGGATTATAATCATAGCATAGTATTATCAGATTGATCAAGACTGATCAAGTATTGTAAAATAATTTGTTTATGTGTTTCACACTATGTGTAAAATCAGTTGTATATTTCCTCCTATTTATGGCTTATAGTATGGTACTCATAGCATACTATCTTATTACCACATACAGCATAACGGCAACATGACTCAAAGGTAGTACTACCATTATGTTATAGCTGTAATGCCGTATATAGTTACTACCCTGAGAAATGTCTGCATCATTAGTTGTAACCAACAGCCTATCACCTTTATATCATCTAGGCTGATTATTTGAAGATATACGGATAATATAGAGATGATATTTTTGATTTCGACTAGTGTCATTAACAGGAACATCAACATTTATTTTATTTTGATTTGGTAATTTAGAATAATATTCTAACAAAGCTTGCTCAGCTGCTATTACAATATCAATATGTGTTTCATCTATATCCTGTTCTTTTTTTTTTTTCTTGCTAATTAACTCATTATAAAACA